AGTGTGACCGTTACATAGGGCGCTCAACGGGCGCCTCTGGAAGGGGGGGGTCTCTGCTAAGCTACCCCAGACGTGTCGAAGACACGTCTGGGTACGAGACCACTTTGTTCAGGTCCCCATGGTACGCCAAGACGATTATGATTATCACTTCAAATGATATTTATGATTGTTCAAGGCGGCGATATTCAACGTTCACTGCTCAACGTCTCAACTAGCAGGCGCTGAGATTACCCTTCCTCAGCTACTGCCCTCCCGCCATCGCTATCGTCAGAGCCGCCCTGAATACAGCTTATCGACGTGGGCTATTGAGATCACTGGACACGGTGATGAGAATGAGAAGCTCTTGGCGTTGCCTGTGCCATTCCATGCGGTTGTGCTACTCATGAGGTATGGAAGAGATACCTTCTTTTCCGTGATGAATGATGTACCACATACAGGCAGAAGCCGCTACCCTTCAGCACAAAGCAGATTGATATTGGTCTGCGGTACGTCGCTCATTTTCGTCAACATTTATTTATTCATGTTCTGTAGGAGAATTCGGAAATTAGGCCACCTCATCCAACTTGTTGCTATGGCATTCTGATCGTCTACAACGTAAACACATGTGGCGAAATAATATCTGTATCTTGAACCTAAACGTACAGTACTAATGCCATTTATGCCTCGTGTTTCATCCCTCGATTGCTTGTGTCTAATAAGATAGGTTTCCGAGGAGATTTGCACCCAAGTAAATGTGAATCGCGACTACACTCCACTCACGCGTGATATTGCGACATCAGTATTCGCTTCTTTGACATCGTTCCTATCACGCCAGGCCTTGCCACACGACAGAACCATAAACGACATTGATCATAGGCTTCGCCGCCCTCTGTCATCCTGCGGTTTGGACCATGGGTCTAGCACGCTTCTAACTGTCCAGCGCTGATTAAGAGAAACAGACATGTCAGATCCCCATCTCGCACACGTTCCCATGCACTGTCAAAGCGCTGCGTGTTATTTCCGTTATCTGTGACTATACAGTCATATGTCCTTCCCAATCTGTGTGTCTGTGACCTCGTGCAGCAGAAATTCAAATGCGATGCTTCGAATTTCACGTCAGGGGAAATCATGATAACAAGGGCAACCGGTTCTGGCTCGACAGTGCAACGCCTTGTCGTTGAACTTCGTCTGTTGTCCTGAGCCAGTATCTCGAAACAACTCTTTCTTCACTTGTCCTTACTGCTCCTACCTCTATTCTCCATGGACCACGAATCTCTTCGAGAGAAATTCGGCCGTTTCCGCGTTCTAATCATAGGGCGAGCGAATGCCGGAAAGACAACCATTCTGAAGAAAGTGTGCGATACGACCGATAACCCGGAGATCTTTGACGGGAGAGGGAACAAGGTAAGCGCTATCGGTTGTATACGTTTATATTATCTAATGGGTAACGATGACCAGATTGACAGCGCATCAGTGGCAGGATCCATAAGTGTAAGCTTGTACTCGCATCAGTGGAATTGTATCTTTAATTAGTCCCAGCGCGGAGAGCACAATATTCAGCATGAGATGGTTTTCAGCAGTAACCCTGGGTTTATCTTCCATGACTCACGCGGATTTGAAGCCGGACGCGAAGACGAATTCGAGGAAGTGAAAAGCTTTGTTGCTGAGCATGCATCTACAACAAAGTTGAAGGAGCGGATCCATGTCATCTGGTAAGATGAATTAGTTTTGTTGATACATTTCTGCCACTGATGAAGTGATGTACAGGTATTGCATATCTCTGGATCAACCTCAGAGAGCAATCACAGCAGCCGAGCAGAAGTTTTTTTCTGACTGTGATCCCAATCATGGTGAATTTGAGCTAAGAGATTATTTTGAAGAACTAATCAGCCTGGTTTAGTGCCAGTGATTGTGCTATTCACAAAGAAGGATGCTTTGAGGCTGATTGCTAAAAAAGAAGCACGAAAGTCCAGAACCTGTGCTTCAGCAATTGGGTTTACTGAGAGTACTGATCATTTTGAAGATCAGTTGCATAAGTTCCAGTATCCTCCAAGAAAATGTATTTCACTGGGGGGTGAGTGTATATATTTGTTACAACTATTGTAGTATATGATTATGAATGTTGCAGATATGCATAAGACTACAGCTGGCTGTGAAAGTCTTCTGGCCTGCACAGCTGATGTTATGAACACTGAAGAGCTGCAGAAGCTATTGATATCAACACAGCAAACCAATCTAGGACTGTGTATAAAGTTTGCTGTTGAAAGGTTGAGTTTGAATTATGATCATCAGTGAATGTATATTCTGATATAGAATAGAGAGATAGTGAGAATATGTCAAAATCAGGATCAGTGGCATGAAGTAAGCTGGGTTGAAGACCATCTCAAATATGCTATTGGATCATGGTTTCCAAAAACAAAGGTGAGATTAAATTAACTTTGCTCAGCTCTAACCTACAACTTAGAATGCAATTGTGATCTATTCCTATTTTACATGTAATATTTTTCAGCACTAACATTAATTTGATTAATAGGTGGTAAGTACTGTTTAAGCATACAGATAGTGCTATTCATAGAACAATTAACCCTTCAAAGAGTGTCATACCTTTGTCATCCAACTGTTAAATTCAGTCACATTACATATGAAATACAGGATGTAAGTGTTCTAAATTTGATTATCAGAAATAAAACTATCTTGATAGATATATATTCATTTTTATTTCATGATACATAGAATGTAAGTGGCAGTTTCAGAAGAATAGAGCATATATTAAACCTCTATGTTATACTATCATACATTGCAGATTGTGAGTTTATATGAAATTGCAGATATGCATATCACTAATGCCATGATGGCAAATGATGTTCTGCAGCTTGTGAGTCTATGTTATTAACATTATGGATGGCCAGACCACTTATGATGATGTGATGGCAAATTATGTTCTGCAGCTTGTGAGTTTACATTATTTATATCATGGATAGCCAGACCACTTATGATGATGTGATGGCAAATTATGTTCTGCAGAGAGTGAGTACATATTAATAACATCATGGATGGCCAGACCACTTATGATGCTGGACTGGCAAATTATATTCTTCAGGGAGTGAGTCCACATTATGAACATTGTGGAAGGCCAGACCACTTATGATGCTGTGGGGGCAAATTATGTTCTGCAGGCAGTGAGTTTATATTATGAACACTATGGATGACCAAACCACTTATGATGCTGTGGTGGCAAATTGTGTTCTGCAGCTTGTGAGTTTACCTTATTAACATCATGGATAGCCAGACTACTTATGATGGCAAATTATGTTCTGCAGCTTGTGAGTTTATATTATTAATATCATGGATGGCCAGACCACTTATGATGCTGGACTGGCAAATTATATTCTTCAGGGAGTGAGTCCACATTATGAACATTGTGGAAGGCCAGACCACTTATGATGGTGTGATGGCAAATTATGTTCTGCAGGCAGTGAGTTCACATTATAAACATTATAGATGGCCAAACCACTTATGATGCTGTGGTGGCATACCATGTTCTGCAGCTTGTGAGTTTACATTATTCACATCATGGATGGCCAGACTGCTTATGATACTGTGATGGCAAATCATGTTCTGCAGGGAGTGAGTTCACATTATTATCATTATGGATGGCCAGATCACTTATGATGTTGTGGTGGCGAATTACATTCTGCAGGGAGTGAGTTTGCATTATTAATATCATGGATGGCAAGACTATTGATGATGCTGTGGTGGCAAATTATATTCTGCAGCTTGTGAGTTTATATTATTATCATTATGGATGGCCAGACCACTTATGATGCTGTGGTTGCAAATCATGTTCTGCAGAAAGTGAGTTTATATTAATTACATCATGGATGGCCAAACCACTTATGATGCTGTGGTTGCAAATCATGTTCTGCAGAGAGTGAATCTACATTATTAACATCATGGATGGTCAGACTGCTTATGATGCTGTGGTTGCAAATCATGTTCTGCAGGGAGTGAGTTTACATTATTA